CTTATGGACGGACGCGCGTACACATGGACGGACGCATGGATGGACGCATGGGTGGTCGCGCGGACGGACGAAATTCCGGACGGGCTGACGGACGCTTCGCCCCCCTCATCATCATTCACTCCGTGGATGCTTGTCATTTTTCGACTGCATTTGGGCATCTACTGTGTTGAAGTCTGCCCACCAGGTAAACATTTAGCTAGGAAGTCACGTGGTACGCCCATGGCTGCATGTTGTGACGTCAGACAAAGTTGAGCCTTATCACCTGTGATAAGGACCTAAACTTTTTCGACTGCTTTTGAGCGTGTCCTGCGGCGGAGTCAGCGCATCAGGGAAACCTTTAGCTAGGAAGAAACGTTTTACGCCCGTTACTGCAAGATGTGACGTCATACAAAAGATGAGCCTTATCATCGGTGATAAGGACCTAAACTTTTTCGACTGTTTTTGAATGCTTCCTGCAGTAAAGTCAGCGGAGCAGAGAAACATTTAGATATTAATGTGGTATGCCCATGGCTGCAAGATGTGACGCCAGAAGTTTATCCTTATCGTCAGTGATAAGGACCTAAACGTTTTCGACGGCTTTTGAGCGTCTATTGGGATGGTGTCTGTCCACCGTGGAAAGGTTTAGCTAGGAAGGAACGTGATATGCCCATCGCCGCAAGGTAGGTGTGACGTCAGACAGAAGTTCAGCCTTATCGTGGGGGATAAAGACCCCGACTTTTTCGACTGCTCTTGACCATGTCCTGCAGTGAAGTCTGCCCACCAGGGAAACGTTTAGCTAGGAAGGAACGTGGTTACGCCCATGGCTGCAAGTTATGATGTCAAATAGAAGTTGAGCCTTATCACCTGTGATAAGGACCTAAACTTTTTCGACTGCTTTGAGCGTGTCCTGCGGCGGAGTCAGCGCATCAGGGAAACCTTTAGCTAGGAAAAAACGTTTTACGCCCATGACTGCAAGATGTGACGTCATACAAAAGTTGAGCCTTATCATCGGTGATAAGGCCCTAAACTTTTTTGACTGCTTTTGAGCGTGTCCTGTGGTGAAGTCAGCGCACCAGGGAAATAATTACCCAAGAATGAAAGGTTTACGCCCATGGCTGCAAGATGTGACGTCAGACGAAAGTTTAGCCTTATCGTGGGTGGTAAGGACCCCAACTTTTTCGACTGCTCTTGACCAAGTCCTGCAGTGAAGTCTGCCCACCAGGGAAACGTTTAGCTCAGAAAGAACGTGGTTACGCCCATGACTGCAAGTTATGACGTCAAACAGAAGTTTAGCCTTATCATCGGTGATAAGGACCTAAACTTTTTCGACTGCTTTTGAGCGTGTCCTGCGGCGGAGTCAGTGCATCAGGGAAACCTTTAGCTAGGAAAAAACGTTTTACGCCCATGGCTGCAAGATGTGACGTCATACAAAAGTTGAGCCTTATCATTGGTGATAAGGACCTAAACTTTTTCGACTGTTTTTGAGTGCGTCCTGCAGTAAAGTCAGCGGAGCGGGGAAACATTTCGATATTAATGTGGTACGCCCATGGCTGCAAGATGTGACGCCAGAAGTTTAGCCTTATCGTCAGTGATAAGGACCTAAAAGTTTTCGACGGCTTTTGAGGGTGTATTGGGGTGATGTCTGTCCACCATGAAAAGGTTTAGCTTGGAAGGAACGTGATATGCCCATCGCTGCAAGGTAGGTGTGACGTCAGACAAAAGTTCAGCCTTATCGTGGGTGATAAGGACACCCACTTTTTCGACTCCTCTTGACCATGTCCTGAAGTGAAGTCTGCACACCAGGGAAACGTTTAGCTAGGAAGGAACGTGGTTACGCCCATGGCTGCAAGTTATGATTTAAAATATAAGTTGAGCCTTATCACCTGTGATAAGGACCTAAACATTTTCGACTGCTTTTGAGCGTGAACTGCGGCGGAGTCAGCGCATCAGGGAAACCTTTAGTTAGGAAGAAACGTTTTACACCCGTGACTGCAAGATGTGACGTCATAAAAAAGTTGAGCCTTATCATCGGCCCTAAACTTTTTCGACTGCTTTTGATCGTGTCCTGTGGTGAAGTCAGGGCACCAGGGAAATATTTACCCAAGAATGAAAGGTTTACGCCCATGGCTGCAAGATGTGAGGTCACACAAAAGTTTAGCCTTATCATCAGTGATAAGGACCCCAACTTTTTCGACTGCTCTTGACCATGTCCTGCAGTGAAGTCTGCCCACCAGGGAAACGTCTAGCTAGGAAGGAACGTGGTTACGCCCATGGCTGCAAGATGTGACGTCAAATAGAAGTTGAGCCTTATCATCGGTGATAAGGACCTAAACTTTTTCGACTGCTTTTGAGCGTGTCCTGTGGTGAAGTCAGCGCACCAGGGAAATATTTACCCAAGAATGAAAGGTTTACGCCCATTGCTGCAAGATGTGACGTCAGACGAAAGTTTAGCCTTATCGTGGGTGATAAGGACCGCAACTTTTTCGACTGCTCTTGACCATGTCGTGCAGTGAAGTCTGCCCACCAGGGAACGTTTAGCTAGAAAGGAACGTGGTTACGCCCATGGCTGCAAGATGTGACGTCAGTCGTTTAGCCTTATCGTCGGTGATAAGGACCTAAACGTTTTCGACTGCTTTTGGGCGTCTATTGCGGTGAAGCCAACTGATCGTGGGAATCCTGGCGTCGAAGTTTTCCTAGCGCTCTTCCCTGGTGTTCGCGTAAACAAAAAATCGCACGGACAAGAAGGTTAATCAGAAGAAGGGCGTTCTGTCCACCGAACAAATATCGGTGTCTGCAGAAGCTGAACAATATCATTGTACTTAAGGGCGATGCAAAATTATGAAGATATCACATTCAAATGCGTAAACGTTCCTATGGCGAATAAACCACAAAGCTATATACGTGTCCCTCCGCCTTCAAGTAAAAAATAAAATGCCTATTTAAAAAAAATCTTACTGGTGTAAGTATACTCGAACCTGACTCCTCTGCTCCCATTGCGAGCATCTTAAGCGCTACGCTATAAACCAATGTATGCCGCATGCAAATACACTAAACCCTGTACTTGCGTTGTACCAGCAGTACAAAAAAAAAAAGGTAATGTATAAGAATAACTGTTTCAAGAAAAATCGAGTGGAATCGAATCAAGATCAGTTTATTTGAGGACATTTCTTGCGGCAAAAAGATCCAAAATGGTGAAACAGCCTGACGTGGTCCCTGCCTTTATTCAATTCGTACAGCGTTTCCAAAAACATGTACAATAGTATGAACATAATACTGGGTTGCTCTGAATATACAGCAATATACTTTCTTCGCCGTGTTGGGTTAGAATATACTTTCTACCCCAACAAGTTATCATTGAATTCGAAAATGTGCAGCTGCTCAAGTGCGCGTAGCACCCTGTGAACTCGTAGTGGGCACTTCGCCCTATTTAATATGAATAATTATGGTGTATAGTGCTCACTTCGGAACTGAACCTGCAGTGAGCATCGTATAATTTGAAATGTCCAGTTTTAGGGGCAAATTGGCTAAGGCTTAATGAACATAGCACTGAAATGGTCTGTCTTGATTACTTATGTTCCTATTAAAAGGCAATAATTATCTCGGGTGTTATTCGCGAGGTCATAATTGGTATATAGCTATTTAACATAATCCTAATTAGAAAGTTCCTAAGAAAGAAAAAAAACAGTACGGCCTGTTTGTGGCTAGAAGTGCGTCTCCGCGGAACTCACTTGCAGCATGATCCTAATTATAACCATATTAGTAATGTTTAACTAGCATGTTTTTTTCAGCATGCTTATGAATAACATGAGATTAACTAGTATGGTTTAATTAGCGCGTCACCTAGTATGCTTTAGTTAGCACAGTTTTAGCTTAATTTACATTGCTTCATTAGCATGGCCTTAAAATGTGTAATTATCTTGGTCTTACTACAACTTGGCTTAACTTTCTTGGTCATAGCATGTTCTGGCGTAGCTGGCGGAGTGTATTGTCAGCCAAACAGCCAATTAGCCAGCCGCACATATTCAGGTGCTAGCAGACGATGAATATGCAGCACGCTAGAATGTGCAGGCCAACCATTAACATGTGGCGCAGGGTTTAGCTACGGTGACAATGTTGTAAGGCGCCCGGCAGACCTAATCTGGGCCCCATGCACGATAATCGATGGTCATTAAGGATAACAGACTGAATTCCAAGAGAAGGCAAGTGGGTGAGAGGGAGACAGAAAGTTAGGTCGGTACATGAGATTAGGAAGATTGCCGGTAGAAAGCGGCGTGAGCAAGCACAGGACCAAGTTGAAATGGCAGACATGGGAGAGACATTTTGTCCTGCAGTGGGCGTAGTCAGGCTGATGATGACATACACATACACGCTGGAGCGTGAGCTTGCATCACGCCCTCTTCTTCCTCTGCTACTCTCCACGCCATCAGTTGTCTGGCCGCAGGAGTGATGTGTCACACGGGTGTTTGGGACGCCATCCAACCGAGAGTCAATTGTCAATGCTAGTTCACATCCTGATCCTAGTGGACTGTGCGTGCTCGCATAGTCCAATAAGGTTCCACATAGGATCCTCAAGTTTTACCTAAACTATACAATCTGCAAATACTTACAGTTTGCATTACAGGAAGTTGACCTAGTTACAGTCATTATGTCTCTTGTGCACAGCTAAGGACAAAATTTTTTTAAACTTTTGCAGGTTACATTTTCGGTGTACTTACCGATCTCGAGTCAATGCGGCGTACTTTTCACATGAGGTCACGCGATATAACAAGGCGAACTTTCGCGTGCAGTTACTTAATTGTGTCAAATTACAGTAGGGCTACAGGACTAAAAACAGAGGAACTACAAGGCTGTGTTATCCAAGATAAAGCTTTTTAAGTAGACACGTAGCAAAATTTTTCAATTAACGTATAACCCTGTTTGCCTGGCCAGCTACACTAAGTGCTGTGATATTGAAGACAAAAAGACAAACCAGCGCCGACGATTCCAAAGAACAGCGCGGCCCGAAAGAACACTCGTAGTCAGCCGAATGCACAGCAATGTGGCTTTTTATTGAAATCACAGACTTGCCATTTTGTCATGTGGCTTTTCTGTCAATATATATATACACGTTTAAGAATCGAAGGAAGCGACACAGACACAACGCGATCCGCTGACTGCGGTACCACGCACGTGCACGCCTCCATGCAACTGTTGTGGTGTTGCAGTAGAAGAAAAACAAAACCAAGTAAGCACGTGCGGGTCAACTGCCGTAACGCGCTTGCCACCCACGTGTGCTGCGACGGGAGGCAGAGCATTTCCAACATTCATTTTGTTTTGTTTTGTTTTAAAGTATACGGGCGGTGTACAGCAGCTGCCAGTGGCTCTTGAGTCGCTTTGTACAAAAAAACACAGAATCCTCGAACAGTCCAACAACACTGCTGAAGAAGCATCGCACTTTCTCTGGAAGGTGTAACACTTATTCCTCCATTCAAGGGTATTTTTTTTAAAAGGGGTTCTACAAAAATACTGTTAAGTGGACAAGCCGTAGGGTAAACGCGCACGCTGTAATTCTCTATAGCAGGGTTGGACCTGTCATGCCTACAATCAGTCATTTTCTGTTCCTGAAAAAGGATCCAGCTAAAAAAAACAGTAATAGGCAAGGGAAGTGGACATGGCAGAGGTCAATAACAGAAGCGGCACTCAAACACAAGAGATATATACCCACACACACACAAGCAAACACATAGATGTAGTGGAGAACTTCAATCGAAACAAACGCTATTCACACTTCTCCTCACTCGACCATTACGATCGATATTTAACAGAGTGCTTTTACACGACTCCTTCTAGAGTGTCTCACTCTTTATCACACTAGAAACGCAGTACCTGTCACCACATATGGTGACAATCGAGCCTCCCCTCCTAATTAATTGTATATAGTGACCTATGCATTTGTAAATTAGCAAGAAAGAATAAATTAAAAATGTTTAAAAAAAGAGTAAGGAGGGGAAGGCGGTGACCCCAGCCAGAACAAAAAAAAGTAGTTTATCGATGCAATGGCAGCTACATAAATATACACAATAGCAAAATAATGCTGTCAGTATGGAAGAAAAAGTGTACTTTTGCCTCTTTGTAACGGCAACAAGCAAAATGTGTTGAGAGAGCTGAAATTCTGCATTTCTAAAGCAGAAGCGGCTTTGTGAATTGGTCAAAAATAGTTTGCGGAGACAAAGGCATTCTTGCATGAGAAACAATGCAGGTGGAAGTTCAGCACCAAACGCTTATATTAAGTTTCTCCAATTGTCATTGTTTTAAGGAACCATATCGTTCAAACAACTGCATCCATTTTTGGCGTTGTCTTGATTTCCCAAGGTGTCATTGAGTTACCAATAACAACGTCGTTAAGTTGTCTGTATAGCACAAGACGAAAAAATAAAAGTATTTTACTCTGGCACTCCCTCCCCCTTTCGAATTCTGATATATCAACCTTGACAAGCAGCAGTCAATTATGCCATATGGTAATATGTTCAGTGAGTAAATAAATGCAAAAGTGAGAAGCCAGAAATCTTTGACGAAAATGCGGATGAGAAAAAAAGCGGGGCAATACACATGAATGGTGCTGTTCACAATCAGTGAAAAGATTCACAACGAGATAAACTAGAAACAGTGAAGTCAAATGCACGAGAACCCAGTAACCGAAGCAAAAATTATTGCAGGACCTCTGGTAACCACTTTGAGGAACACGGAGACGACTGTGATGAAGGATGGGAACACAGGGACTTCAAAAACTTGATATGGCACTAGGAGGGCAGTCAGAAAAATGAGTCACTGCAGCACTCAGGCACCTCACGAACCGAGCCACGCAGTCACCACATCCTCCCGGCAACTGATGGGAAGCACGCACGAGTCTTTTCACCAAAGACCGTGGTGCAATTTCACACGGCTGGTCGTTTGCTGCCGTTGTAGGGGATGTGGGGATCGTGGTGTTCACTTTGGACAGGCGATGATGCACCAGTTGGACGCTGGGGTGACTTATGTACACGAGGTGGCCGCGAATCAGAGACTGAAGAAGCTCAGAGCACAATAATTGCACTGATTTACGGACAAATTATTCTCCTAATTTCCTGCCTCTTTAAAAATTACAGGACAAGAAACACTATTAGGGCTAATTACAGTTTCACGAAGTGCCCTTGTTTTGTGGAAATTGTAAATAAAGCTTGTTGTTAACTACCACTAATCACTCATCAACTTCATGAGATAACCTTCCCAAATGAAAAAAAAAATATTCAAGGGGCATGCTGCTTGCATTGAGAGGTATCATAAGGCTGAAGCTATCTGTGACAGGTTTCCTAGAAATGAAACTGAAAATGATGCCAGTTTCATTTCACTAATTGTTAATATTTATATTTTGGTACACTCAAGCTACATCAGGAGCAGAGCTATTGCCAGGTTGTGCAGCAAGACTTTTACAATGCTCTCTATAGGTCAAACCTGTAAATGTAAAGATTAGTTATTCTGCTCTTATAATGCTCCATATATTTTAACTTGCTACAGGTAATAATCATGTGCCCAACCAGATGATGATTTACATCAAGACTAGCGACTTGTAAAATTCTAACAAAATATGCTACCAGTTGTGGTCCCCCAGACCTATACATGTAAAATACAAATAAGATAGTGTGCTAGATTCCCAACAGTTTTTTTTTTTTTAAGCTGCACTTGCATATCAGGATGCAACACTAGTGCTTCACAACTTCTTCAGTCTAACAAGATTCGCGGTGCCACACCCAGCGTAAGGGTACCACTTTCATCGGGTGTTAGCCCTAGGATGAGGCCAAAGACTTCCAGGATGCGGTGGCCACTGTTCCTGCCCTGAGCGCAGCCAGCTGCTCTTCACCGAGCCGGATCTTGTCGTCGATTTCGCGTGCATCCACGAGCAGCTTAGACTTCATACGCACAAAGTGGTCATAGTCGGCATACTCTTGAGGTGTCAGGTACTTGCGCAAGAACTGGGCCACCTGTCGGCTGCGCCTGTCGATGCTTTCCTTAAGCCGGCGTGCCTCCTCGTGCTGGCTGCTCAGTTTGTCCCGCTTTGACTCCAGGGCTCTCTGCAAAAAACAAGTCGAAGCAGTCTCGTCAAGCAATGCACACACGGTCAGTATGAGGGGCATTTCTCTACTGACATTTCCCTACTGATAACTGCAACATGAAGCATTGCACACTCAAGTATGATACCTGTACCACACCTAGGGGTCGCTTAATGTAACGTAACACTTACAGTGCCATTTCGGCACACGGCCACTGTAAGTGCCATAATTTATCACACGTCTGGTAGCATTAGCCAACATTTGTCAATAGTAAGCATACAATAAAGCTTGAGCAGTACTCTGATATACACAGAAAGGTTTATGCAATACTGGGCTTACTAAAAGACGACATTTTGTGACTTCGTTCATCCATAACCATGAACCTGTTTGTTTGCTTTTGCCAGTGTTTATATAAAAACATGGTTCAATATACGCAACTCACTCTGTATTAGGCTGCCGAGAGTTCACTACAGCTAAGTAGAATACACTACGTCTATGCAATAACAATTATGTGCTTGCCTAGTTCAGCTCAGCATCGCCGAATGACGCTACCTATCCGGTATCTCACGATTGTGGCTGACGATATGCGGATAAATTAAAAGTCTCTACTAACCAGTAATAGCCAGTGCTAATCAACTCTGGCAGTATGTGAGCAAAAAATAAACAAATACGGTAGACAAAAGCACCACAGTGAAATCGTGGGAGAACGGTGGGGGAGAGGTTAGGCAAAGATATACTTTGGCATGCAAGAGAGCAAGAGAAGGAGAATGTAGGAAAGGCAGAGAAAAGAAATGGCCGGGAAGCCACTGACCCTCTCCTGTGCAGTGGGCTCGTCAGCGCCAGCGAGTCCAGCCAGTGCGTTGTGGACACGTGCCTAGTCGACCAGACAGGGACAGGATGAGGCTGACGATCTTGTCGAGCTCGTCAACGTGGAGACGGTACTTGTCACGCTCAGCGGGCCTCGCCAGCTGGTCGACGCGGCTGCCCAGAGCGCGACCCAGCAGCTCATTTTGCGAAGCCTCTTCGCGGAGGCTGAGCCGGGCTGAGCGGAGAACGTCCAGCTTGCGTGATATGCTCGCCATCAGCTCCTCCTGCGTATCAATGATAAGGGTGTTGATACTTATACCGAAAGATGCACCGAAAGCTGGTACGAAAACGAGATGGGTGTCTATAAGACACAGCAGCAACGATAAGACTGTCATCACACGGAATATAATAAAGTTACTTAAATTTGTGTGTGCAGGAAATTTATCGGACAAATCGGGGCACTTACACACCAGTAGTGCGGAGACGAGAGAAATAACAGAGCAGGTGGCCATGCCCTGCCCTCACTATCACTTCTCTTTCCCACCCCGTACAATGCAATGATTCACTAAATATTTTTTCTGTTCTCCTCAGCCACAGATTACTTCTCTAGCTCAATATCGATTCCCTTTCCCATCCTCTTGCAATACTACACAAGGCTATATATAGTACTTCGGTCTCTCACTTTCTTCTTTCCTTCCTCCTTACACTCACTTCCCTTCCCAACCCTCTTACTATGCCATACTACATCCCTCCTGTCTTAGCTTCGCGTGCCTTGGCAAAGCTATAGGCTAGGTTCTACCTATCGTAACGTGGCTCCTCCTCACTTAATCTGTTAAAGCAGTTTCAACGATGGAGTTTGGCCAATCCGAAACTGGTTCAATGTCACAGGGTTTCTATCGTACAGTTTGTAGAACGAAGCTACAGATTAGGGAATAATAGAGTAACAGAATCGAAAGTTAGGCTAGTACAGTACAATAATACAGTATTTCATTGCAATGTATTCATCTAGATTTTGACCGAACTGACTTGGTCCACAATAGCTACGGAAGTACTTCGCATGCTTTCTATCTATGGGTGTAGTGTAGCTAATGCACAAAGGCAGTTTAGTCGGAAAAATTACGTCATCGGTAGAGTTCAAGCAGCTGTAAGAAGCAAAAAACGATGAACGTTGCCACTCTAATAAATACTGGCAACAGCGACTGACAATAAGGAGATGCATAAAGGGATTGTCAAAGGAGAATGTGTCCACCAAGTGCAGACTGACCTTTTTGGCAGACAGCTCACTGTCGGATGTCCACTCTTGTTTGCCAATGTCAGATCCAAACCTGGTCAGAAACTTGGCCTTTGGTTCAGATGTCGTGTAGTAGGCACTATTCGCGGGAAGATTCTCGTCACTGCAAAGACAGACAAAGTTAAAAAAATATATAGAGTATGTTCTCTTTGCCGATGTGTATATGTCTCTGCGATTCTGAAGGCCTGGGTCAATCTTAAGCCTGAACATCAGTGTCTAATTTAAATCACAGAGACAATTGAAAACTTCAGGGCTCATTTTTCAATGTCAGTTTCATCATTTAAAGTAACATAAAGTTACCTGAACTCAAGCAATTTGTCGGCAGCCTCAACAAACTTCTGTCAATAATCTTAAAGCAGAAGCTACCTACCTCGGTTCTATGTGTATTTATTCATCTACAAACAGAGTAGTCGAAACGGTAATGCAGTAGTTTTCACAGCGGGCACTAAGTGCAGCAGGAACACATTTAGGCACGTCATTTTCCAGCTATAATTCAATTTACATTCTATTTATTCTAAAAGAACACTATTGAAACCTCTAGGCTTATTTTCCATTCAATACTTTTTTGAACTTCGTGTTTATACTTGTTCAAAAAGTACTCTTCCGGAACTTTGCATTACATTAGTGCCCATTAAACCGAACTGCAGCACCTTGCACCAAAACTGACCAAACTTCGTGTTCCTTATAAATAATTTCTCGAAATTAGAGCGAGCGCTTATACAGCATACCGTTCATAAACATACCTGAGCGTGTTGTTCCCTGTATTGGAGATAAGATATGGTGATGACGAAGCAGTTGACGGCGAGGGTTGCGGAGAAGTGGCCACGGAGCTGCACCGCCTGGATAGCGAGGAATCAAGCTGGCTATTCTGGCTGAAGTCACCGTCGAACAGGCCCTCCAGGTAGTCGGACGTCGTCTTCTGGTTCGGACTGGGCACTGCGCACGACCGAAACGCAAGAGGATAACATTGTATTAAACAGATAGAAGGGTGTCTGATATCAGCAGCCTTATAGATTGCTCAACAAGGTCCAGGCTTATTTTGCATACTGCGCCAATGAAGTAAGGAAGCAGAAAAAGACAGAAAAGAGCACAGTGACTTTTTCTACTTCCTTCTTTTGTGCTTGCGCGGTACGCTAACCATTCAACGATATGAACCGTTCTGCCTGCAAAAAGGTCGTACTGACTTAGGCCAGTTGGTATACGGAATGTATGACCCACAATCGGCGCGGGATCGAAATACCCGAACCAATGCACTGCATTTGATTCTAAGGCCAACTCTCAGATGTATAAGCAAGCGCAAAAAGTGCCAGTCGGCACCGCCAAGATGCAAAAAGTGATGATAACGACGTCACAGGTCTGCAAAACGACGTCACTACGGTGACGACGACAACTGTGGCGACAAACCCCGTGACGTCACAAGGTGACGTCTTCGCGCGGACATCGTCGCTCGCAGATCCTCCGATCTCGGAGGCAGTGAAAAAAACACGTTCGGCGCGTGAAGTTTTACGGCCGGGATCATTACACAATGACCAAGGAAGAAAAAGATGGCTTTCGCCTTCCAGCCGTGTCAAGCAGATAAATTTCATAATATAAATGTTCGTGTGATCACTTCATTGCTTTGGACCCCTTTAAGCTGATTCTCTATTTTGTAATCAGAATACCTACAAGTGGTATCATTTCGGCCTTGTTATCTGTTCTAGTTGATCTCGAAGAATAGTGTCATCCATCATCACGTCGACAACATTGAGAAATAACCAATCGCTTTCAGTTTAATGACTATATTATTAGGAAGGTAGGAATACTACGGAGGTACAAAAGTTGGTGCCCGAAAACAGAAGTCCATGTGCAAAGCCACAGATGGTCAAAAGAAATTCATAGCCTCACCCTCCCATGACTAAGTTTATCTTCTTTTTTACTATTTCGCAGTCATAAACATTTCCATGCATCAGTCAATGAGATACATCGAGAGGACTTTGCATTGGAAATACTTTGTTGCCGGAAAAGCAGAGCGCATTTCGCTAACTGCACGAACGCCTTCTTTATTTCTTTCAATGCCAGTGCAAACATGCGCTTATCAACGGAAGCCGTCGGTCCGCCTTAGTACAGGGAATGGTCGTGCTGTGACGCTGCCTGAGGGGTCGCGCTAGGGTGCCCCCACTTTTCGAACGGAGGAGCGAGCATCGAAGTACTCTAGGTCTCGCTACTTGCATCACAGATGCTTCGAATTCAGGATGCAATAGACGCGTTTCCAACTACATTATCGTACGACTGTCAGATTTGTTCCTTCGCGCTCCTTTTTTTTGTGGCTCGAAGCAACGCCACCACCACCACCTTACGACGCAGCGCATGTGGTAGCGCTTGCAGTGACGCTTTCCCCATTGGCATGCCCGCATAGCGCCACGAACGGCGACACGCTGTCTCAAAACGTCGTATCTTTTACAGAGCCAGAGTGACCGCCAACATAGTGAACACGAGGGAATGCAAGACGCCGCCCCACGGATGTGTACACAACTGAACGAAAAATTACTTTCTAGAACTTCCGTCGTAAGGCACTGCATAAGGGGGCACCCTCCCCGATGACAGCGATACGCAGACGCGAAGGCTAGGCGATTGGCGAGAGCACGAAAGGGCTAGAGGAGAGGGTGGCGAACAGTTCATTTATTTCTCAACTTATTTATTTATTTCCCTGCCAAACTCAAATGAGATCAAGGCATGAAAAGGGGGGGGGGGGGTTACAGCAGAATACATAAAAACAGTAAACAAACAGTACAACAATGCGCTAAAAATACATAAATGCAAAGATAAGTTTCTATACAATATAAACATCATTCCACTAGAAAAAAAGTAGTAACAGAAAAGAAGACCGTAAATAAAAATAGTTAGTTGGATTGGGCACATCTTGCTCGCATTGATAAATAGAGGAAGCGTTGACTGCACGAACAGTATCGTGTACGTGAGCACAGAACGCGGAAACAAACGAGCTTTAAATGGGCAAGGAGTAAGAGTTCGCGACATGTGACACGTCAGGTCGCGTAAAGCATTCATTTTTAACGCGCTTGACCGCGTAAAGACACGCTCTTTTCCGACACCATAACCTTGGCACCGGTCTTTGGGCTAAATACTGCGCGGGAAGAAACGCTATACGTACGCCCTGACAAAGACAAGGAAACGACGCACGGTCCAGCAGCGCGGTATTTAGGCATGACCCTACACAATCGCCCAGTCGCCTATTCTTGCAAACACTTTCCTTCGCGGGTCCCCAGCGAGAATGAGAAGAACCTGGCGAAAAGAATAATACGAAAAAGAGAAACAGGAAAAGCGTTTAACGAGAAGGAAAAAGTTCAAACGCGGCATTCCGTTCAAGGGGCACCAACACCACTTTGAGGATCTGACTTTACAGTGTCATACAAATCTGCCACACAGATATAAATGACATACAAAGCAGCCGTGAAAACGTTACGGTATCTACGGTAACGAGCACTCTACGGAAAGCTCATAGCGCGTTGTGACCTCGAGGTACAATATAGGGACCCGGAAACCTTACTGCAATTGCTTTTAGAAGCTGCACTCACGATTAACATACCAGTACATATTCTAGGCTCTTGACCACTTGGACTTTTATTTGGCGCCAACAAACGCCAACTGAGTGAGTGAAACAGCTTTGACGGCCCGGCATAAAAGGGGAATGGGTAGGAGTATTAAAGCGAGACACCAGCTTGCTCGGACGTCCCGGAGCAGCAACCTACTCGCGTCAAACCCGTGGGGGCACCGCTTTCGGCCGCTTCCAGGATTCTAAGCACGTGCTGGACCACGTCTTTTCGCTGGCCTGGCTCTCGGCTGATGATTTTGCTGCTGATACTGAACATTTTCGCGTCAATACCCTTTTCAAAAGCCATGCAGGAATGGAAAAAGTTATATAGAAGTAAGGCGGAGGTCAATAACCTGACAAAGTCGTGTGAAGGATGGAAGGAGGAAAAAAAAAGTGCCGGAATGCGGTGATCGACAGATAGCGAAAGAAAATACGAAACAGACCGTGCGAATGCTGTCACGGCGATATACAGTACGCAAGCAAGCACGCGCCGTACTATATATACGTCGCGCGCTTTGGTTTTATCCCACGCTGTTGTCGCTGCATGTGACCCACGCGTATACATAAGAATACCCGCACGTAAAGCGTGCACCTTCGTCGGAGGAGCTACGTGCACTGATTGCGGCGAGAAAAGAAAGCCCTGCATACGAAAACACTGGATAGAAAACGCGGTGACTTGACCTAAACGCCACAGTAGAAATGGATGGTCGTATACAATCCACAAACCGTCAAACGAAGTGAACACGATCGATAAAGAAGCCCGTCAGAGCAAAAAAAGCTTAGTTCTTATTTTCTTTCTTTATCTCTCTTTGGTACCTTGTAATCTTACTTAACCCTTAGCTTTCATTTCCCAATCAGGACGTAGACAGCGATAGATATCATATGTTTAACATAATTGTGTCCTACCTCATCTTGCCTCTCACTTTCTAATTGTTCTTCGAAGACCCTTGGTACAAGAATAAAGCTACCAAGCGGATATTTTAGGAAACAAATATGAAATTCGGAGGGTAGAAAGAGAAGTAACAGAACCAATAAAAGCGTGTTATAAATTAACTAGAAATATAACAAAGTGCTTCCGCAATTGTCTTAAAGTTTTAAGGGCAGCAAATAGTTCGGCGAAATCTATAGACGCATGCGGTGACGAAAAGAAGTTCGAGAGAAAAATCGTTCGAATGCCATTGGCTTGTTTTCTATTACATACATTCTATTAGATACAAAAAAAAAAAAAAAACGTGCCGGAACGTGTACTGGGATGTACAGTTGAACTAAAGCTACCGGTCCGATGATCCAAGGCCGTTTCGCCGAGAGCGGATAGGTCCTACCGCAGCGAGGCGTGCGAAAGTAGTAGCCCGATGTGCAAAAAGCAAAACAACAACAACAACAACAAAAAAAGACGACACCGAGAGACTGCGGCAGCGCGAAAAACGTGAGCTACCATTGATGGATGGCGGAAGCCCACCAGGTCGTTCCTCAGAAGGCCGTCGCGAGTCTTTTCTACGCCGCTGAAACCCAAATCGATAGTCGCGGTGGGAAGCGAACTCGTATCATATATACAGCAGCAAGACGCGCTGTTTTCAGGCTGACATAGGCATGTAATACACGCACGGACCGAAGCACAAACGGCCGTATATACACTGACACTCGAGGTACGCGAACATCCATAAGGGCGCGCGCGCGTGGCTCCGGTTTCTCGGCCCTGGGCTGAACGGTTTCGTTTGGGGGGAGTGGTAAAGGACAGACATGGGGAGGACGAAAAACGACGAAGCAGCGACGAAGTCGAACGCGGCTTCAACATAAATGATGCGGAGACGGAACGCACAAGGACACTCTTTTGATTGAACATTTCGCCTCTTGCGTTTATATACATCATTTTGCGTGCTGCCACCAACAACGCGCGTTTTGAGGCACGGGAAGTCTGCAGCGAAGAAAAACTGCCCTGGCGAATGAGTGCCTTAGGGGGAAAAAAAAAACACACAGGAACGAGTTGAAATTCGAAAAAGACAGCGTCAGTGACAGGGCACCGCTCTTTCTGAAAAAACGCGAACTCTTTGTCCGTATAGGAGACAGCGATGCCTCCCTTACGCATCCATTACCCATCACTCTCTGCGTGTCTGCGGACTATGTTTTGAAAATATCTCTGCATCCGCAAAAAGTTCTATTTTATACCTTCGTTGTCGCTCTTGCGCTGTATACCTACAAACAAACCGAGACACTAGCATAAATTGCCAACTTCCCAGAATTCAACTCTAATTAATTAATTTATTTATTTATTTTCTTTCTAATCATAATGTACACTGCCGTTCTTTATGAAAGGGAACACGCGAACGCGTGGCCTGCGCTCTGCGGC